TAAAGTCCTCTAGTGAACATAGGCCTCGACCATAGATTGCCTCATAGGGGGATGCAACCGCAGTTTTTTATTTGTAGTCGTTTTTAGGAAGACGGTACTTCCCATCTCCTGATTTGTTTCCCTCTGTCGCCTCTTACGACACTCCCGGGATGATATGGGGTAGTGGATATCCTTACACCGCCACTACTCGTTAAGTATGCTAGTAACCAAGAAAATAATATGTTAGTTACGGTCTGGTCAGCTAGAGTCAGAACGAAGCTCCACTTCTATGTTGCGGGTTTTGGGTACGTATCCCAGCTAGTTGACAAATTTGTGCAAGGAAACAATTTTGTGAGTCTGGTTAATTTATAATTATCCTTGGGTCATTGATGCCTACTACTCACGTAAGCATTACATCGGGTGCGGGTAGGCTTGGAACAATGAGTGCTCCTTAGTTTGAGCTTATACTTATGTTACATACTTATGTAAATATGTGGGCAGGTGATAATTCAGACTTCCCATAATTCAGAAGTTGTCTCCCTGGTCTAAAATAGAATACAAAGACATCTAATCTGATGGTGTTGTGTAGGTTCATAATGACTTTAAAATAATATTTATACCATACATAAAGCAAACATTTCATCACTCAAGAAAGTGTATTGCCAATAGATGCATTAACAACACATAACCACGAAGATATAAGAAAAAACAAATAAAAAAAATCTTCGAAAACAGGACCTCAGTCATTTTTGATAATTACATATGAGCAGTCTAAAATTACCCGAACTACTTGAGCGTGGGATGAAGACAACACACATATACGTCAATAATTGTTCCTTATTAAAATGAACGCTAATCTTTTTACGAAGCTGACTCGGGCGAAGGCACCATCGCATTATGCCTAAGAATCGACAGCTATAATTTCTGTTCAATCAAGATTTAATTGTTTTAATGAGGCAACATGCGTGAATCGCCGGCCCAATTATTGTTTATTTTTAATCGCCTCCAGTGGTTTTTATGTTCGCAACCAGGCATGCATGGGGCCCTCGGGTGATCATTTTCATTATTTTAATAATGTAAACTTCCAATAATAATTTACAGTGATTTGGGCTAAACACGTTAAGAGGTATTTATGGATTCCACGAGGTCCATTTCGAGAAGTATAATTAGCTCTATAATTTGATCTTCTGTTGATGAACTCTTTTTAATATATACGTGGGTGACATTGTGAGTTTAAAAAAAATAATAACGGGTAAAAGTAATAAGTTGCAATTACCATGATTGTTCTTCGGAGTAGTTTCTATTCTTGGTATGTAATCACGCATTTGATAGTATCACTGAAGGAAGCCGTGGAACACTCTAGTCCTAATAAATTATCATCATCATCATCATCATTACAGCTCTTCACAAGCGCACTGCTGAACATAGGCCTCTCCCAAAGAATGTCACAAAGCAGGGTCTTGTTCCATCCGCATCCATCGACTTCCTGCATGTCTTACCAGGTCGTCATTCCATCTAGTAGGTGGACACCCTAAATTTAGTCCGCCGGTACAAGGCCGCCACTCGAGAACGTTTTGCCCCATCGGTTGTTGGTTGTTTGAGCTATATGGCCGGCTCATTACTACTTCAGCTTACTAATCCGTTAGGCTATGTCGGCTATGTCTGGTTCTACTACGGATATCCGCATTTATAAGTTTATCACGCAGAGAAACCCCCACCATAGCCCTTTCCATAGCTTGCTGAGCGACTTTGAGCTTCCTCATACGGCCAGCAGTGAAGGAGCACGTCTCAAATCCATACGTGCGCGAGCCAGTACGCGTTGCCGGTGATGACTTATGAATAAATTATCCATCAATAAAAGAAATATGTATTACAGCCACGCTGCTGTTGTATTACGGTTGCAGCACGATTGAGTCGTCTCAGCCGGGGTAGGATCACGCCCTCACAGAATACAAGCGTGATACTGCTGTGTTTCGTATGGTGAGTGTAGAGTACCGGAGACCCTTTCACAGGTAACGAGACATTCCATCTTAATCCTCAAAGGTGACAATGCATTTTCATTTTGATTCTTAAGCGATGATAGATAGTCTCTATGGGCCACAGGATTCACTAGTTTCTATAAAAAAATCTTGCGTTAAATTCATTTTGACGCCCTGCAAAAAATTTAATAAAAAGACAAAGACAAACGAATTTAATATACCTCACGAACATACTAAAGAGATTTATATTCCAAATTGACATTTTTGTTGGTATTGTATCTATGGTTATTTTTAATACTTGTAAAGTGACGTAACGTATTAATATAGTCTTGTTTTATCTTCAAGATTTAAGCCACGCCATTATTCTCATGCAAATGAGACATAATTAAAAATATTTCACAATAAAAGGAAATACCGTTTATACACAGAATTTTACACATACATATATATTTTGGATATTGATATAGACGATGCTCTCCTCTTGGTCTATCTCAAGGACGGTGTTTTTTTTTATAGGATGGGTTGACAAACGAGCACACAGTCCACCAGATGGTAAGCGGTTGTTGTGGTCCATAGACATCTACATCTATCCTCGTTTACGAATCAAAACGCAGATACGTTGTCACCTGTGGGCACTAAGATGGAATACCTCTTTTCCAGTAAAAAGGGTATCCGGTTCTCTACACTCACCATACGAAACATAGCAGTGTTAAGCTGCTATTTAACGCTGGTATTCTGTGAGAACGTGGTCCTTCCCCAGTCGAGTCGAACCATTCGTGCTACAACTTTACTACTAATATAGCTGCAGCATGGCTCTACCACGTATAAAACTTTTATATCGCAAATACTCCAACTGCGCAGACATTCATTTTTTTCTGTAGTTTAGAGCAACTTTAACTAAGTAAATAGAATCGGAGGGAGACCCAACCGGAAAACGAAAAACAAAATTTTGTGTTTTTACACTAGACTATTTCAACATAGGTGCACATTCACGCGCAAACTTACAAAGTATATTTTCCCTCCATTGTTCGAAGATTGAAAGAAGGGTAATTCGTAAATTTTAACTGTGTAAAATTACTTAAACATTTGATCGCATTTATGTTGATATAAATAGAAAATCGTCAAGGCAACTAATGAAAGTTGGAAAGTTTATTGTGTGAGCAAGACTTTGTACTTGACGTTGCCTGCCACATTGTGGTGTCTATAATAAAACATGTAGTAAAAATGCAAAGCAAAATTTCAAAGTATTGTTTTCTTAAAATTTGTATAAGTTTTATATATGATATGGCATTTAGTAAATATTACTAGTGTAACATAATTAAATAGGTTTGTGGTGACTCAGGGGCTAATCGCTCGTCGTAAATTTTATAGTAAATGAGAAACCCGAGCTTGAACCCCGTCTGCACAAAGTTGCTCGGCAGTGAAGGAAAACACGAGAACATTGTGAAACGTGCATATTATGTGAGAAATAAAATATTTTTCAAGTCCTATGAATTCCGTCAACATGCAATGAATCAGCGTAGCAGATTAGTTGCTCCATAACCTCGCAGAAATTAGAGGAGGCGTGCGTATAGGTATAAGAATTTATTAGTTCATTATTTTACTAGTAAAATAAATATTTCTTAAATTTAAAATGATATTTTTTTAATATTTTATCTGATGTATGTTTAATGTATAATTTTAAAAGTCACAATAACACTTTGAACACTTAATGGCAAACAGTCCCAAAAATACCTTTTTATTAAGTGTAATTTATTAAAATAAAAAACATAGCATAGGACATAACATTATATATCAGTCAATAATGTTAACAGAGCAAATAAAATTAAGATCAAAATTGCCCATTTTACTAAAAGCGGACAAACCTCAATTAGGTGCAATTGTGACGTCGTAGAAATAAATAAGACTTGGCTCCATTAGAGGAGAGTTAATCTCGATGACGGAACACATTACTGGCGGCGGTAATGAGTGGAGCGTGAACCTCGCCAGCGAACGATTTACAAACTCCTAAAGGCATTTGGAAGTACACTAGTTGGATACAGATTTTTAGAGCATGGGCTAATCTGCGCCGGCGCTGTTAATAGCGTTATAAACGGTTTGTGTAGATTTATAGCGGGAAATGGATGTTCGAATATTTAAATAAAATAACTATAACTGAAAAGCTCGTTTTGAGTACACAATTAAAAAAAATGTACGTCTGTTGTATGTCAATGTTGAGTTGAGAGTCATTTTAGAATTCCTTCTACCGTGATAAATGTTGAAGGAAAATGAGAAACAAAAACTAGCATTTAACTCACTATATCGCGAAGAGTAGGGCTTAGTGATAAATTTAATTTATAACTCTAACTAAAAATTAAAACTTATAACTTTAAATTTTTTCAAAACTGTCCAATAAGTGTCGTAACAGGCGATGTGAAATATCAGAAAAATCTTGTAACTTCCGACAGATGGCAGTATAACAACATCAGTTATGCCAGATGTAAAATACCGGTAAAGGGATGCAGCGTCAAAGCTACGGAAAGTCTGTTACTGTGATCACCGATCTGCCTGCCGAGCGTGCCAAATATAGCAAGTCCTCCCTATAAGGGGTGATTCCTATGTGCAGTTGTGGACTTTAATAGGTTTGTATTGTTTACTTGGTTATTTTTTTATAGAATAAAAAAACGAGCAAACGATAACACAGTTGGACCGTGTGCTCGTTTTTGATGATGCTGGGGCCATAGTCATCTACATCTATAGAATGCTGTGCTTCCAGCAAAAATGTCTCGAGTTCTCTACATTTACCATGCGAAACACAGCGGCATTAGCTGCTATAACAGAAACAGAACAGAACAGAAACTTTTTTTATTCAATATAGATTATAAATAATACTTATTGAAAGCCACTTGTTTGTTTAATTATCACTGATTCGAAAAAAGTCTCTGTCCTGGGAAGAACCAGCAAGAAACCCAGCCGGATTTTTTTTAAATAACAGCTTGCAATCATGTATGTTACACAATTAACCACACAAAGCAAATTAGAAGTAGCTTGGTAGCGATCACCTCATTCCCAGGGATTATTTATCATCCATGAATTTATTAATATTATAATAAGCCTTTTTATACAAACTTTGTTTAATAAAGTTTTTGAACTTTAAGCAGGCCAAATTTTGTATACTTTCTGGGATTTTGTTGTAAAAGCGTATACATTGCCCCAAGAATGAATTACTGACTCGGTGGAGTCGAGTAACTGGTACTACTAGGTTTTTTTTTTATAGGAGAGGGGTCAAACGAGCATGCGGCTCACCTGATGGTAAGTGACTACCGCCACTCATGAACAACTGCAACACCAGGGGAATCGCAGATGCGTTACCGGCCTTTCAAAAAGGAGTAGGCTCTTTTCTTGAAGGTCCCTAAGTCGTATCGGTCCGGAAAAATCGCTGGTGGTAATCGATTCCACAAGGAAGTTGTGCGAAGGAGAAAACTTCTTCTAAAACGCACAGTGGGGGACCGCCAATCATTCAGATGACATGGATGGTATCGTGAGTTTTGTCGCGATGTGCGATGGTGAATTGAGCGGCTGGAATTAGTCCGAACAATTCCTCAGAGCACTTCCCGTGATAGATGCGATAAAATACGCAAAGAGATGCAACATTTCTACGCAGTGCCAGTGAGTCAAGCCGATCGGAAAGAACTCGGTCGTCGACAATTCGAATCGCTCTGCGCTGGATGCGGTCAAGTGGAAGGAGCTGGCACTGGGGAGCCCCTGCCCAGATATGGGAACTATATTCCATGTGAGGCTACGCCTTGTAAAGTTGCAAGTGGTGTGCCCGCATGAAATACTGTCCCGCTCTGCTGAGCACGCCAAGCCTTTTAGAGGCCAATTTGGCCTTCTCTTCCAAGTGAACACGAAACTGCACGTCACTCGATATGTCGACACCGAGGATACCGATACTGGCTGAGGCTACAAGGGAAGTACCTTGAAACTGAGGATATACGTCAAAGGGGTTATTTTTAGCGGTAAACGCGCAAACTTGTGTCTTCTGGGGATTGAATTGGACTAGATTTAGTCGCCCCCAATCCGAGACTTTGTCCAGCAAAGACTCGACTTTAGACACAAGTTGTTCCGGTACTCGGCGAGGTTTTCCCGAGAAATATTGGCACGGCCGGTGTATAAAGCATCACCAGTGCTGTCGTCTGCATAGCAATGAATGTTACTGGTTTGCAATATATCATTGATATACAGAAGAAACAGCGATAGTGATAGCACGCAACCTGTGTGTGGAACACCAGCGTTAATGGGCTTGTAATCGGAGCATGCACCGTCTACTACGACCTTGATGCTCCGATCTGCAAGAAAACTGGTGATCCAATTGCACAATTTCTCGGGAAGCTCATAGGAAGGCAGCTTTGAAAGAAGCGCTTTGTGCCAAACCCGATCGCAAGCCTTCGCCAAAATGTCCAAACGAACGTTCAATGCCTTCCCCTCGGACTCAATTGCCTCCGCCCATCTATGAGTTAGGTAACCTAGAAGGACACCAGCAGAGCGACCTCGACAGAAACCGTACTGGCGGTGACTAATCAGCTGGTGATCCTCAAGGTACCGCATGAGCTGGCTGTTAATAATGGTTTCCATTACTTTGGAGAAAAAGGAGGTGATAGCGATAGGCCTGTAGTTGGACGGATCTGAGCTGTCGCCTTTTTTAGGGATCGGGTGCACCAAAGCTGTCTTCCATGATTTCGGGACTACGCCTAGGGAGTAGGAGTACCGAAAAAGACGCGTTAAAACCGGTGCCAACTCCGGAGCACACGTTTTCAGCACAATATGTGGGACTACATCAGGCCCACTCGATTTGTTGACGTCCAGGGAGAGGAGTGCTTTACGCACCGAGTGCTGTGTAAACAGCACTTCCCGCATGGAGCACTCACACCACGCGATTGTCGGCGGTGTGTTCCCCCAGTCATCTAGAGTCGAGTTAGGAGCAAAAAGAGAGCCTAGCAGATCGGCTTTCTCCTTTGCGTCATGGGCCAGTGAGTCATCCACTCTGTGCAGAGATGGCAGAGATGGCTGACAGAAGTTCCCTTGGATAGCCTTGACAAGAGACCAGAATGCACGTGTTTCCGAAGGGAGGCGAACTAGTTTCTCGTCAATTCTGCCGATGTGCTCTGATTTTGCCTTGGCTATGACAATTTTAAAGGACCTGGAGGCGGAGTTATACTTCTTTTTAAAAGCGCTGGTGTTTACATCCCTGGACGTTGATGTGTCAGCCCAGGTCCGGTAGCACTCCTGCTTACAGCGTGATGCTATTTTACAGGAGCGACCAAACCATGGCTGGGATCTTCCTCCAATGGGCACTACAGAGGATGGAATAAAAAGTTCCATACCCTGAAGTACTACATCGGCAACAGAATCGGCAACAACGCTGGGATCTTCCGGCGAGAAGCAAACGCGCTTCCAAGGGTAGGATGCAAAAAAAGACCGCATTCCGTCCCAATCGGTGGACCTATAGTGCCAAACACGGCGGCAAGATGCGCAGCAAGGGATTCTCCAGAGGTGCTGGTACCCTCCTGGGGTAGTCTTTGGTTTAATTCCGCTACCATGTTGATAGGGGGGGGGGGGGGCGGAATTGGGCCTCCAATATAAATCAAATATGGATTGCTCGTATAATATATCGTAAAACAAATATAATTTCAGTGTCAGTCGCGTGTCCCATATGACATGGGGGCTCCATTGAAGCTTAGCGTCTAGTGTTATTCCAAGAAAAATGGTGGTAGCTACAAGACTCAGTTCCTTCCCATTTAAAATTACTTTATTATTTAATTGTTTGATATTTGGAGTCATGATTTCATACATTTCGTTTTAGTGTCATTTAAATGCAAGTTATTAACATTAAGTCAATTTACTAATTTAGATATAGCATTATTTACTTCGTCATATTTTAATATTTTTATTTTACGCAGGTGTTGTTGTCGTGAGATGTGCTCCCTCCCCAGTCGAGCCGACCCATTCGTGCTACAACCATAATATAGCTGCAGCGTGGCTCTACAACCTTTTATTGCTTATATTCTGTATAAGCAATGAATATTTAAAAAAAGTTAAACTGTTATAGTATTTTTATCTCACGATGGTGAGTTAGTTTTATTTGTAGTATAAGTGTGCATGCATATTGTTTTAGTGAGTGTAAGCTCGAGAGTATAAAAAATATCATCGAGTACCGTCAAAACGAAAAGTAAACAGATAAAAGTTGTTCGCAGTGATGTAAGAAAATAATAAATACAGCTTGTTAATCGTGGTCTTTTGTGGAACTCTCTATGTGCAAATATAATATCTAATAACAATGCTTAAATATTTAAGTATAACATTAGCCATAGTTAATAAGTAGTTATGCAATTTATCATAGCTCTCTGGCCAAATGATAATGTTATGCTTATCCTCGGGCTGTGATTAGAGAATTTACGTATACTCGTATTGTTGCGGATTGGAGCGGTACTAAGTGGTTACGTTGCGGCGGCAATAAATACTGTACACTGACACCTCAATTTCGAAAATCTAAAGGTCTATAAAGTTCGACGAGAGCAATGATAGAAAATTAGCAACATCCTAGTAAGAGTTGGGGTGAGGTATGGCTGGCCCGGGGCGTTGGCGAGCGAACAATGGCGGCGTATACGTATGCGCACCATATGCCGCGACAAATCTCCGGACAGCCCTGGCCTCAGGTGACAGAGAGGACATTACCTCAGACGCGTTAGGCAGACAAGGATAAAGTAAGATACGATCGTGAGATTTTGATTTATTCGCTCTAATTATCGAATAATAATCTAGTTTATTTCGCCCCATTACATCGCGTTTTAAGCGGTGACCGTCCGCAAGTCGAGCAACGATTGATAATAATCGCTCGCGATGTATAATAGCGTACACCCACGGGTAATTATTGTTGTGTTAGTCGTGAGTTCGTGAGCCACTAGAATAGTGGAATGCATCTCCTTCGGGGGTTGCGTCGTAAACCAACACGGGTCGGTCCGGCCGCCCGCGTAAATAACTGATCTCTTTCCCGTGCTAATGATAGTGCGGCTCAGGTCTGCGTCCTCTCCACTCGATACTGATATAATATTTATTAGTAAGTCTTAGTTATTCATTATATTAAAAAACAACGTTAATATTGGTTGAGTTATCCTGTGCCTTTAATAAAATATATAATAAAAAGACACATACTTAAAACTAAATAATAATATTGCAGAATCATAGGAATATGATCTAACAAAGAGAATCGCAGTTATAATCACAATCTATTTTTTTTTTAATTTCGATCACTTTTAGTGTTACTATTTTTTTATTTGGTAATTTTTAAATAGTTATCGGAATTAATCGTAACACTATTAAATATTCTTAGGAAATATTGTTTGAAATATTGATGAAAAAGAAAATAAAAAAGCATACGGCGAACAAATTAGCGATTCTCATGAGACAAAATAAATTTCTGTATACCTTTGTGTGTCAGGTGGATTTTATAATAATTATGGCAAAATATCGTAACAGGTGATAGACGATGGACGAGGTAGTTTGTTTTGTTATACAAATGATGCCCCCGAGCAATAAAATATATGATATGACGCATATAAAATTTTCTGATTCACGTATCCGAAACCATTAGAGCTTATATATATATTTATACGCTAATTAATGTAGTGTGAGTAAGACATTTGCAGTTGTTAATATCTGGTATTAAAAACATAGTAACCCAGTTTCTAGAGTCTTGTAGATAGGCGAATGATGCGATTCTTTTTCTCAACTATATTTAACCACCATTACGTTTTGAATCCATGGTCGTTCACAACGAATCGTTTTTAATGATGAGTAGTTATGTTTTGGCTTTGGGCTATTATTCATAACTAGAATCTGCAAATCGTAGGCTGGCTAGTCTGCACTGTGCTCGGGGCTGCAAGATTGTCTTTAACAAAGTTGATGTCACCAATAAGCTTCTTAACATCTCCACTGAGTCTCAAACTGCTAGGTGGCATTTTGTCCGCCAGTCCATATTTATGGCATCAGTACTCAATGCAAGATGTGACTTACGCTTTATAAAATGTTAGAAGCTGAAGCTAAATGGTGTGAAAAATTTGATCTTATTATCTATTTGATACACATTTTTTAAAAACTGTTTTTAAAATTCAATGTTATAACCTTATCTATGAGTCAAACGTAAAAAATGTTTTTTAACCGCCATTATTCTTGGAAACAAACAGGCGCGTATGTAAATTTCCGTGAACTGCAATAAAAGTCGGACAAGTCTCGAAACTGTTGAAGTTACAATGAAGTCATTTCTTTGTCAGTCATTGGATCACCACCGCCCGGGGGATAAGTCCGCGGAATGCATTGCAAACATACGGAGGTTGCATTGACGTTTGGTCACGGGGCATCGTCGAGCGTACTTCTCTTGCAACGTTAATGGGCTATAGTGGCCGTCGGCTCCGTTATCCCTCGTAGCTAATGATTGGCCGGCATTAAGTCCCGGCCGTTCCGTGCGATTATTGGATCTAACAGATAATTTTATATCGCATTGTCCCGGAGCGTAAAATTTTCTGTTGTTATTACGGGATAGCGGCGCGCGAGACCCGCTGAGCGATGGCTGTATCGTTCCATCTTAGTTAAGGGGCCGACCGCTGAACAAATTAGCAATTAAGTTTGTATAACTATACTAAATTACAATGTTTCGTGAGAGATTTAGGATCTCTTTAGGTTTTGTAAAAGCAGCATATATTACTCGAGAAACTTAAACTAACTTAGATTATATAAGATTTAAGAGGTCCAAATAATAGAGGCTAAATAATTTCTTAATATAGGATATGGGAAGATAGCCGCAGTAAAACCAGAGTAACCGACATAGCCCAATGGATTAGTAAGCTGAAGTGGATCTCGAATGGCAGCCTCGGTCCGATAGGCGAAGTGTAGGGCGGCCCCCCTTTAAATGGGGTTCTGGACGACCTGGTAAGACATGCCGGAAGTTGACGGATGCAGGTGGTTCAGGACCGTGCTTCGTGGCATTTCTTGGGGGAGGCATATGTTCAGTACTAGACTTGTGAAGAGCTGTAATAAATGAAATAAAAATTGGTGTAGTTCCGGGAGATATGGCCGTAAGGGAGAGATGGGCAATCAAAAAAAAATCACAGTCACACTTCCTAAATTGCACTACTTTATCATTAGTACACTTCGTGCAGTGCGTGGGATCGACATTTCGATCTAACTTCGGCGACAAAATAACAAAAAGTAAGTAAAATGTACCTATATTGATTGAGTTTTCAAAGGGTTTACGTTATACGGTTTTGGTAATTATGCATCACACAAAATAAGTATTTTTTTAAAGTTATGTGTTCAGTTTATGACCCAAATTTTAATATAACCGTAAAATGGCGCGTAAGTTGTTTATATTTTTTTTACAAATAATGTGTGGCCATCTGCCCCGGGTGATTAAGAGAGATGGCCATACATGGTCGGTATGAGATGGACATATTTAATAATATGTAATATTGAAAGTTTTGTTATTATAACTTGTAGTATTTTGTTTTATCGATGGTGAATTATACTAATTATTTTTTAGTAATAAATTACAGTATTTATATTAGATGCCAAATGAAAACCAAAGAAAAACAGTTAGTTCACTAAGGAACTGGATTAAAAAATCATTTAAGGAAATCTTTTATAACGAGTATAGAAAGACGATACAAGGAAAATAATGACAAAAAGGATACATGGGACCATGATTCTATCCACTATCACATTCAACAAGGAAAATGGGCAGAAACTCACTAATTACATGAAAACTGCAAAAAATCATCAACATTGTTTTTTGAAAGTAGTAATGAGGATGAACAACCAATATATGTGATTCAGCTGATGAAGAACGTAGAAAATTGTTATGAAACGTATCTCATCAAAGACTGGCTTCAATGCGTTTTATGCCAACTGTGGGTATATGAAAATTACACCGAGTTTGATGATAAGTGTTCATTATGTGGACAGAATAGAAGAATGTGTTAATACTCAAACACCTAAAGGAAAAGAGTAGTAAAAATGCAGATTAACAAACTGGCAATGTCTCCCTTGGACATGATAATCCTTGAATCCGGCACCTTGTTTTATTACCGGGAGGACGACCATCTGTCCCAAGGAGGTGTCGGATTTATCGTCCACAAGTCCCTCGTTAACGACGTTGTAAAGATTGAGAGTGTGTCAACGAGGGCTGCGTACCTTATGCTTAGATTCACCAAATGGTATTCGTTGAAGGTCATACAGGTTTATGCACCAACCTCGGCATATCCCGATGAAAAGGAGGAGGAAATCTCTAGAGCCATGCATTCCGCGAAAACCACTATATGGACTTCATT